AAACATTAAAAGCTCTCATATCTGGCTTTTTTTAAATATACCTATAGGACAAATTAATTTGTTTTTAAGGGTTTTGAGATTATCTTGGGAGATAAGAGGTTTTACAATCATGTGCATTATTATATCGACCCATGCAACGAAGACTATAGTAACTCAAAAAACGTGGATTTTGACTTACTATATGGCATCAACAGATTTTTTCAAGCTCTATTTGGTGGAAGATTACAGTAACTCAGACATGAAACGATAGGCAACCAGTGAACAACTTCCCTGTATAGTAAGTGTAATAATCCACATTCCTACAGGCGAAAACTAAGTTGAGTTACTCTAGTCTACAATCAAAACTGAGTTATAATATGTATGGGTAGATATGAGGTAAGTACTTAATTATGCAAAAAAAATCGATTTTGTCAAAAATGTCTCAAACGAGTTTTTGCGGATTCATCGATGAAGAGTTTTGTAAATTTGTATCTATTTATTTTTATTTATGCGTATTTTCAGTTATGTTAATGGTTTTATGTTAATTAAATGATAAAAGTATTTAATGTTTTTTATTTAAGGAAAAAACCTATAAAAATTTCATAAATGTTTTGTATGAAACATTTCTGTTATGTTCTGAAAGTAAATATAAAATGTCTTAAAGACATACCTACAACATTCTAAGATGATCTCAAAACATCCCAAAAGGATGGCCGAGGGACGTTAAAAAGGGCGACATGGTCATTGCCAGAAACATTTCTGGTATATCTGTGGGAAAATAGGGTCATTCCTGGGATGTTTCTATTGTCGCATGCATATGTTTCTGGCATGTTTCTAGTATATACTTGTGTTATTAGGGCACCAGCACTCATGCTTTTTGTTAAAATATCACTTAGCAACGTGTTTTTTCGATTCTTTTCGGAAAAATTAAATGCCCTTATGATATTACTAGGGATGGGATTTAAGTTATTTTACCTTTTTTCAACCGATGTAACTATTTGAAAACCAATAATGCCAAAATGTGTTTTAAATGATTTTCTTTTATATGAACCTAACTTTTTTTCACCTTTTTTTACCTTTTTTGGAGGTTTTTGCTTTAAACTACCTTTTTTATACTTTTGTTACCTATTTTTTTAAACTTGTTTTCACCTTTTTTACTTTTTTTGGAGGTTTTTGCTTTAAACTACCTTTTTATACTTTTGTTACATATTTTTAAATTTGTCAGTTTATTTTCACATATTTGTTATTTTTACTTATTTTATTTTTTTGTGTTCTTTTTAAATTTTCCGCCAATATTTTATCCAGGGCGTGCAACTCAACGGTATAGAATTTTTTCTTATGGTCACAAAATGTAACAGTAACTTTATTTACAGTTACCTTCTTTGTAGTGAGCTTATGTTCTGTCATAGAACTTCTGTGTAGTGAGTGTCACTCAGTGAAACACATAGAAATAGTTTATTGTGGGTATGTTCTGTGTTTGGGTATGCGGCTAAACAAAATTATAAACGAAACTTGAACTTTTGATGTTTTTTTTTACCTAAAATGCTTTTTTTAGTACCTTTTTAGTTACCTATTTTTCAGTTTTTAGTACCTAAATATCCCATCTTATCATATTACTTACGAAAATATCATCGATGATAATTATCTGGTATACAAGGTTTTGGACTGGAGCCACCAAATAGTGTTTGTAAGGTAATGTGGTGCGCTGAATTTGAATCTGTAACTGTTTTTCTCTTATCAGGTCAGGTTTCCGAAATATAAAATATCATTGTTTTCCTATGTTTTTAATACAAGATGGAAAATTTATTCACAAATAAAGGAAATTTCAAAAGTAGATGGCAGTGTTTGAACATCGTTTGTATTTCTCTGGGACAGTTTCACGAATTAGAGTCCAGCAATAATCTCCCAGCATAATTTTGTCCCAAAATCCTTGATAATTTCTTTCAATTTTCATTAAATCTTGATGTACATGTTCTCCTTGTTCATCGCTCACCGCACCCAGGTTTCCGAATCACTGCTTGTAGTACTAGGAAACTGGCAATGGAGCATTTGGTAAACGTTAACGTTTAATTGAACTAGTTTTGAAACATCGATTTTTCATATTGATCCCAACAACTTTTGTTTAACAAAAATAACAATCGGTTTGGTGATTACTTTGCAAATTTGCCTCGCCATATTACTGGAACTGAAAAATCGAAATATTTATTTTTTGCCATTCGACCACTTGTATAAAATAGCTCTGCAACTATTGCAAAACAGTGTCGGTGTCCAAGTTTTGCCTAAATTTCTGACAGCAAAACCAAAGTAATGTAAATATGCATATTTCAATGGTTTTTTTTTCAATTATATATTCACCACAGACAAATCAGAAATAGCTTGGATTAGTAACACACGATCTACTTGACATACTTAAGCACTATTATTATAGGGATAGAGAAGAAATGTCGGTTTCCGTCAAATTACTTTACAGTAGCGCCACCATGCGGCATAAAAAGAACTAGACCTGATAGCACAATTTTGGCGGTAAATTTAAATTCTGCGCACTTAAATTACTTACTAAACATCCTCATTTTTTCCAGTCAATTTTTTTCCTTTAATTTGTAGACCAGGGAATAATGCATGTAACATTATTTTTACCCATAATATAACAAGTGGTATGATTATAATCATACCACTTGTTATATTATGGGTGAAAATATTGTTACATGCATTATTCTCGCAAAAACAAAACGGCATCTGTCATTAAAATAAAATCTTTCACTGACAGACTCAGAACCTACACTAATAGGGTCTTTCCATCTCAAATCGACCAGGCAAAAAGTGGTAGGTCGTTATTTTTCAACAAAATCTTTTTTACAGTTTCTCTACCGAAATCGATAAGACCCGTATTTTTTCTTTTTGTTTAAATTTGTTTTGTTCGCCCGTATGAAATTTTTTAAACTGGACAAGAACATCTATTTTTACCTTTTTACGAGTGACATTTTTTCTTGAAAATGCGATAACTTGGCCAAAAATGTTTCGATAGTTTTTTTTTTAAAAGGCAAAAAAAGCGAGGTCAAAATTTTAATATTTCCACATTTTTTTGTACTTCATATTTTTTTCGTTTGAACTTTCGTTAAAGTTAAAGGCCAGAGTTGGCTAAATTCGTCGTTTCGGAATTATTATTTTTTTAATGAAAATGCGATTTTCTAGTAAATTCGTGGTTCATAGCAAAAATTTGGTATTTTATCTACGGTCTGGGATGACCTTTATAAAGTGTAATTTAGAACTTTAACATATTTAACATATTTTTGGTTTTACCGGAAATTATCTTAAGTAAATTAAATTATTAAAGATTTTAGAGTAAAATGTACATATTTAATATTTTTGCATGTGTTAGATACTTTTAAAAGATATAATTTTGGTTAAAATAATAAAAAGAAGGTATAACATACCTTAAAGTAATAAATCGAATGCACAAGAAACTTGTAAAAACACGATTGTATAAATGTAGAACACACACAATTACGAAAAATTTTGGTCGGTTAACAGATATGAGTGAGGCAGTCTCTTTTTGACTGAGGCTCTATCTGGAAGGGAAATAAGTATTAAGGCTAAGAGGTCCAGAAACTAATGCGTAGGTTAATTATATTTCAAAATAACAAGTTTTATTTGATTTCATATTTCGTTTTTTTAATTTATTGCCAGAGATTCCCTACAAAGGCCACTATGGGGCGGTTAGATATGTTTTTATAATTGGTTCAAAATATTTAATGATTTTATTTAGTACTTTTAAAACCAAAAAAATGTTGAGCACTTACTTACACCTCTTTGATTCTAACCACCTCAATTATTAAATTTTATTTTATTTTAAAAAAAGTTTTAGCGTATTTTTCATAGTAAAATAAAGTGTTAATATTCACTCTCTAAAAATGAATTAGTCAAAAATGACTAATTTAATAGTTATTAGTGGCTGATTTTTCACTTGTACCATGGTTAACCATGGAATACCACGGTATCCCAAAATTTAACATCCAATTCTTATGTAAAACTGTCCCCTGAATCCGAAAATACCGTCAAAGATTATGAAAGTGGAGCAGTTTTTGAGATATAGTCAATGAAAAATTGAAAAACTATTCTACTTTTTTAACTTTTGACGACATTTTCGAATTCAGGGGACAATTTTACATAAGAAATGGCTGTTAAATTTTGGGATACGGTGGTATTCCATGGTTAACCATGGCACAAGTAAAAAGCAGCCACTTATTATTAAATTAGTCATTTTTGACTAATTCATTTTTAGAGAGCACTTACCAGCAAAACAAACTTACAAATTATCAAATCTGATACTTATTTTTAACACAAAGGTTTTAAAGTCTTCTTAATTTATTTACTTCTGTACACACTTTAAAACCTAATAAACTGGGACCAGTAGCGGCAGTTATGACGGTTAATAAAACCGTTCAGCATGAATGTGGCCTTATCCAAAAATATTTTTTTTTGAGAAATTTAGATCTCAGGTGATTACAACGTTCCATCAAAATTCCACAAAACTTAGCCCTACGATCAAAATCGTCCTCACTTAATTCTTGCAACAACCTTATAGGGACGCATAACCCGACAAGAAACTAAAGGCACTTCCTGGATTTGTAATAGCACATTCAGGGCAACATCTCCAGCAGTGCCAGATTTTAGGTCGACCGCGTCTAGACCTATTTTTCACACTTCCAGTTTAAGAAATGTTTTTTACAATTTTGCTTACGCATGATTGTGTCAGAGGCTCCTTTTCCGGATACGTGGCATTAAATAATGCACATACTTCTTGCTGAGTCCTTTTTTGGTCAACCGTAATTAAAATTTCAATTCTTTCTTTTTCAGTACGCATTTATATATATAAACTTATATGTCCTATTTTTGTACTGTGGTCGTAAGGTTTTTAACTTTATCTACTAATATTATCACACTCATGTTTTAACCTACTAACATCATATAAAATATTTAACATTTGTAACATTTCTTCTAATTCAAATTTTTTCGTTCAGGATCGAGTGACCGACGCATTCTACAGGGCCCTCCTGACAAGACCTACAGACTCCAGTGCAGGTATTTTGCATCCTGGTCAAGCAGCTTTAATTCACAACAGACAATCAAGACATCCTGGAACGTTGGCACACCACGATCGATCCAGTTCAGCTCCCAATGTCTGTTTGAACAGCGTGAAAGGTGCGCATGAGGAATGTCCCAGATCGCTGTCACTAAACAGAGCTGGAAACGATGAAAGTGCTTCTCCACAGTGCAGGAGCACCCAAGCGTCGCCTACAGGATCCTTGCAACCTAGGAGACCAAGAGCGAGGTCTGCTGATGAGAGTAAGCCGCTTTTGGCGCCACGGGAGAGCATTGAGGATTGGGAAATACCGGATAAAGAGTTACTGATCAAAGAACGCGTTGGATCTGGTTCGTTTGGTACTGTATTCAAGGGTTACTGGCATGGGCCGGTTGCTGTCAAAACTCTCAACGTTCAAACGCCTACAGTTTCTCAATTGACAGCTTTCAAAAACGAAGTCGCCGTTCTACGAAAAACCAGACATGTTAACGTTTTACTGTTCATGGGTTGCGTAACGAAACCTATCCTGAAAATAGTTACCCAATGGTGCGAAGGTTCTAGCCTTTACAAGCATTTGCACGTGCACGAAACTAAATTTGCTTTGTTTACCCTGATTGAGATTGGTCGTCAAACAGCTCAGGGTATGGACTACTTGCACGCCAAGAGTATAATTCACCGAGATTTGAAATCGAATAATATATTTTTACACGACGATCTCACAGTTAAAATTGGAGATTTTGGCCTAGCTACCGCGAAAACTAGATGGTCGGAAACACAGCAGAATCGGCAGCCTACTGGTTCTATCTTGTGGATGGCTCCTGAAATTATTAGAATGCAAGAAGATAACCCATACAGTTTAGAATCAGATGTATACGCTTTCGGCATTGTTCTTTTTGAGATGCTGGCAGGACAGCTACCCTACAGCCACATAAACAATAGGGATCAAATCCTTTTCATGGTGGGCAGAGGTTACTTGACCCCGGACTTGACAAAACTACGATCTGACACCCCCAAAGCTTTAAGACGCCTGAATGAAGATTGCATTAAGTTCAGCAGAAACGAGAGGCCACTCTTCAGGCAAATTCACGCATCCTTGGAAGGCTTACTAAGAAATCATCCCAAAATTAGCAGATCTGCTTCAGAGCCCAATATGAATAGAACTCAGTTCCAGTCTGACGATTTTATTTACGCATGCCCAAGTCCTAAAACTCCTGTCAATTTTGGACCCATAAGTAACTTTCTTTTTTACTCATCAGGCATCTCAAATATATGAATAAATAATAAATGTAAATCAATGAAATGAAACATATTTATACATTTTATTGAAATCTGCATTCTCAATACATATTAAAGTTAATGTAACTGGTCAGTGTTCTATATATACGGGTAATAAATCTAATAAATAGTTTGCAAATAAATGCATGCAAATTTGTTGGAACTTAGGAGTTTAGCAACATTAAATTTTATAAACCTTAATTTTTTTTTAAATATATTTTAGAAATACAATTGTTAATTCATTTGTAGTTTATTTCTTATAGCAAAATTTTTGGAACCTATTTTATGTTTATATTTTAAATGTGAGTATATTGATTTAAATATATATTTATTTAAATATATATTTATTTAAATATATATTTATTTAAATATATATTTATTTATTAACGCATTTAGCAGTTACAATATAATAGGTAAGTACATGTGTTAAATCGTGCTTATTATAGATGTTAAATAACTAAAATAGTTCCGGAAAATTTCTGGCACAAACACACAATAAAAATAGGTTCCTAAAATTATTCTAAATAATATTAACAAGTAAATTTTTGAACTAAACTAATAAATTAGTAGATACTGAGATCGCAACATAAGTAAAAGGTTGAGCTGTTAAATTTTTCAAAGGTGGTGCCAAAGATTTCAATGTTAGATAATTATAATTAATGAGTTGGTCCCATGCAAAGTTCCGCTGTGCTTAACTCGTAGAAGATGCTTATGCCTTACTAATCAATAAGGGACAAATATGTTTAGATTTACCAAAATCTCGGGGCAATAAATGAGAGGTCCATTCCAAAACTCGGCTTATCCACTTTTTAATAAAAATGAGTTAGTGGTGTCTGTACATTTAACATGTTTCTCCCCATACCCTAAAAATTTTATAATATTCTAAAACTTACCTTCCCTGCTTAAAATACCCCATAGAGACCCTTTTCAAATCGATAGATATTTGTATCGGAATGTATGGTGTTTCTATAGGGTGTATCGGTATGTATAGGACCTATAGTTGGGATTTATGGTTGTTCTATAGGTATATCCACCCTTGATTTATTTGCTATCGGTCTCGATAGGGAAAATGTAAAAGTTATGGTGTGCCTATTGGTAATTTCCTATACATTTTCTATTGGCCGTATCCGAAAAAAAAACATGGAATCCGGTAGCGCCGGATAGATTATTTTGTATAGGTCTCTATGGGGTATTTTAAGCAGGGTTATTCCATTTAAAATTCATTTACAAATTGACTTTTGTTCCAAAACTTGTCTTATCTATTGGTGATATCATGCAGAACGGCTTATACGTATGTAATTTTAAATTATTTTAAATTGGAATACCTTTTTAATCAAGGTATATAAATTTTTTACTTATGACTATATATTAGGGTGGCCCAAAAAAAAGAATATTTTTTTTTCTTCTCGTCTCTTGTGAAAATATGTTGGTTTGTCATGTTTTAAGAGCCCTGTCAAAATATCAGCTCGATTAAAAATTTTGTAGGGGTCGCTTAAGATTTTTAAAAATTTTCAAAATCGTCAAAAACTGAATTTTTGTTTTATTTTAATTCTTTTTCTCGTCTCGATATTATTTTTTAGGTTGAAAATAATAAAAATTCTGTAAATTTCAAATCAATATTTTTATTTCTAAAGGTCGCTAAAAGTTCGTTGATATTTATATTCAGAGGTCGCTCGAAAACATTCAAAATACTCTATTTTGAAAGTTAAAAAAATCTAGAGCGACCTTTAGAAATCAAAATATCGATTTGAAATTTTCAGAAGCATTATTTTTAAATTAAAAAATAATATCGGAACGAGAAAAAAAATGAAAATAAAAAAAAATCCAATTTTTGACGATTTTGGTAATTTTTAAAAATCTTGAGCGACCCCTAAAAATTTTTTAATGGTGCCGATGCCCTGTCTCTTAAAACATGACAAACCAACATATTTTCACAAGAGACGAGAAGAAAAAAAATATTCTTTTTTTGGGCCACCCTACTATATATATATATACACATATATACAGGGTGTTTCTTTTAACTTGAGACAGCTCAATATCTCGAGAAATACGCATTTCACGGAAAAATGTCTTAAATAAAAGGTTAATGTGACCAAAGGGGACATTATTTGGTGCTACCGCTAGCCACCCCCTACCCCTCCTTAAGGGTGAAACGGGGGGTAACTTTGGAAAGTCAAATGGAATGACCCGATTTTTTTTACAGAGTTTGGTAGTACATAAAAAAATGAATAACTTTTATTTGAAAGTTTTTTCCAATTTATCAACAGATGGCGCTGTAATTCAAAATTTAGGAAAAAGGGGTTTCCTTGTAAAATGTATTATTTGAAACGTTGAAAAACAAAAATTAACATTAAGGTATTTGTCGTGCTATAAGCATACCATCAGAAAATTTTAAATTTTTGTATACTTATTAAGGACATGACATTACATATATCCTTAAAATTTGAAGTCGATTGACCGTCTATAACCCGAGATAAATTCAATTAAATATTGGATAATTAACATGGATTGTATAGGCTTTCTGTAGTTCTGTACCAGTTTCTTAGTTATACAGAAAAAACTAACTGTCAGAAGCTTTCAAAAAACTAACAGTGTTTTAATGTATTTTTGCTGAGTTTAAAAAAAAATAATTAAAAATTTTTGACCGTCCAATTGTTTATAAATAACCGTTTAAAGTTCAACAATTTGTAAAAAGTATACATCACTAGTGTCAGAAAAAAACAACTTGGCAACGCTGTACGCGAGTATAGATATTATTTCCGCAGTAAATTCAAATGACTGATTAAAACTGGATTAAAACTTATGAAAATATTTGAAAGTATTACGGAAAGATAACGTCTCCAGGGTACAGTCTTGCGAACAAATTATGAATCACTTAGCTACAACCCAGATAGCACAAGATGTCCTGAGGACATCCGGTTTAAATCCTTTACAGACGGTCGCGACCAGAAAACCGATGGACGTCCTGAGGCCTAGGCCTATGGACGTCCTAAGGCCTAGGCCGATGGACATCCTGAGTACGTCCATCGGTTTTTTGCCTGCGACAATAGTTGAAGATACAAGTTGATATATCACCCTTTATAAAGGCCTTTATAAAAGGTGATATATCAATTTGTATCTTCAACTATTGTCGCAGGCAAAAAACCGATGGACGTACTCAGGATGTCCATCGGCCTAGGCCTTAGGACGTCCATAGGCCTAGGCCTCAGGACGTCCATCGGTTTTCTGGTCGCGACCCGGGTCTAAGTGAAAAAAAATTACACCTTGTTTTTTATTAAAAATACTCCTTAATCAAGCACGATAAAAGATTTTAAAAAAAAGTTGTCAATTTTTTTTCTTTTATATGTCTATAGATAGACCCTTTATCCACTTAAGTGGAATTGTGTCTTTAGTTGTCAAGTATTTTTAGCAATTGCAATTTTCCATATCTCTAACTTATTTAAAAATATCTAGTAAAATTAATTAATTCATTGCATTAAAAATATCATTACAAATTTTAAAAAATTATTTTTAATTATATTATATATATTAGGTATATTATATTTTTAATTTGTTGAATAAAAAATATCACATTGGCCAAATTAATAATTTGAATTAATAATATTATATGAGAAATGTATAATACGAATTAAAAATACCATTGGAGAAATTTCTCCACTTTAACATTTAAATTATTTAATTTGTCCTATAATATTTTTAATGCAATAAATTGTAAGAGTTTATTTCAAATTTACCGCCAAATAAACAGTTGGTATTGGAAGTAACCAGTTTAGTGACTTTAAGTTGGCAGTCTGAAATCCGCCATGTTGGCATTGTTCATAAAACAGCGTGTGCTGTTTTTAGTTAGCTCCCTGTTTAGTTAAATTTCTGTGTATTTAAATATATGATATAAGTGAAAAACAACTTTTATTATATGGAAAAACCCCTACAAAATTTAAGTTTTCACTTGATATTTTTAAATAATTTAGAGATATGAAGGTATGTGAAATTCAATGGAGAAATAAATAAAAATAGTATTATGAAAGGTTTATTGTTTTAACTTAAGGAATATATGGTTAACGGATTGACCTCCTTTTCCCGGACACCCTGTATATATATATATATATATATATATATATATATATTAACAAAACACTTGTTAACACTGTATTACATTTCCCTATTATAATAAAACTATGTCCTAATTCGGTCCTCATATGTCCCGAATTGGACAGCTTGGGGTCAAATACGGACGTCCTGAGGACATCCTATTTCGGAAGTCTGTGGACGGTCAAATACGGACGTCCTGAGGACATCTGAAACAGTCTATTTCGGAAGTCTGTGGACGTACTACGAACGTACTTTTGCAGACCCCGGACATCCTGAGGACGTTCGGGTTGTCCTGGGTGGAAGTCCTACGAACGTCCTACGAACGTACTTGTGCTATCTGGGAAGCTCGTATACTTTTACGGTGCGTATAATCTAAAATTTTTTGACAATATTGTACCACGACAACTACCTTAAATCAACAATAGTCGGCTCTGAAAACGATTTATAACAAATGTTCGAAATGTCGTCCTTCCATTTCGACACCAAGTGGAGCACCAGCGTCCCTGGTCGGTAAACGTTTGGTGCGGTACCTTAAGCGAACGATTAATCGGACCCTTCTTTATTGACGGTGCATTAAATGGCGAAAAGTACCGGAATTTTCTAGAAAACGATCTGACGGACCTTTTGGAGGATGTACTAGTGGCACGGCTCCAAAACATGTGGTACCAGCAAGATGGTTGTCCTGCACATTATTCGACAATTGCTCGAGAGGTGTTGGATCGGGAGTTCAATGGCCGGTGCACCGCGGTGGATCGGTAGACGTGGTCCAGTAATTTGGCCTGCTCGATCACCTGATCTTACGCCACCAGACTTCTTCCAGTGGGGTTACTTGAAAGAAAAAGTTTACGCTGCAATTCCTACAACTTGGGAGGACATGGTGGAGCGGATCAGGAACGCCTGTGCGGCGAT